TGCTTGTTTTTTAAGGAGCTGTCTTGAAAGTATCACTTACAGTGCTAAATCACTTTCTTTACATATCATGAATGAATATGAACCTCCAATTTTCTTTTTGTTTGCCTAAGAGTAATATTCTAAATTTGAACAGCATTTCAGCTGACAAATTTAAGACATTTACATTTACCATCAATGCGGAGTAAGACTTATTTCTATAACCATTTGAGGCAGGCTAAGCTAAAGGAGAAAGTTGGCAAACAGGTAAAAAAAAGGATACAAGCTGTTGACAGATAAATTTCAAAATTCATGTCTAATTTGCAACCTGATCATCAGCAGTAACGGTCCAGAACCTCCTGTGACCTTACACCAGCGACACAATAATCCTTACCATTTTTAAGATGGAGCTTGGTAAGCTTTTGAAAGTTATGGTTGTATACAGCCCCAGGCTGGACTCAAGGAAATCCCTTCCGATGTTACATGCATGAGGCTTTCACGTACTACCCACGCCTACATAACATTGAACAGTAAGGATGTCGTATTTCCAAAAAGTTGGGAGTCTGTATTTTCTTAAAGATGGACATTTACAATTAAAGACCACTCCTAAAAATATCTCCCAAGACCTGTCAGGTAGCACATAATCCAACCTCAAAAGCCATGGGGGCCAGAGGTAGGTTTTGGGACCTCCTGCCCCTTACCGTGCCCACAGCTTTTACCCCTGCACCGGGTACCGGCCAGCTCCGCGCAGGGAGCTCCCTGCTTCTCTGGACACCTTCTGCAGCATCCCCAGCCCCATCTCTGACTGTCCCGCGCCCATTCTGCCACCTCTGCTGTGCCAGGCGCAAGGCTCACCTCCACACAGGCTGGGCTGGGACATCGCTGCCACGGCCACTTCTCCCCTCAGGATACTTCACAGGATGTGTAGGAGCTATTTTCAGCTTTTGCCCCCCACCTCAACCATATCCCCATAGCAGAAATGGCAGCAGCGGCAGCTGGACCCCACAGCAGGATTTGGCCAGGGCAGAGCGGTGGTGTGACCAGCACCTCTGTCTGCATGGCCACCTCCCACTTGGGGGCTGAACGTTGAGCACGTTCGACAACAGGTTCACATCAGACCTCTGTTACCTGAAAGACCATTTCCCTTCCACAACCTTCAGCTCGCCACATTTTATTGCCAATAGCAACGAAGCGGTATCTGTTCACACAAAATAAGGTGCTCCTAAATTGCAAAAAGAACCCCAACCCCTCGGATCTCAGAATAATTAGTATGTAGACATGGAAATTCTTAATAACATGTTAACTATTGTTGGAAAGATAATTTGTGGGAGTTCTTGAGCTCCCTGTCAGGACTGCGTATCTGCTGGTTGGCATTGTTTAAAAGACAAAAAAGTTTAAAGCCTTTCTGCACACCAGCCAATTTTTATTCAGTAAGTCAGCTAGAAGTAGAGCCAAACCAAAAAACTTCTGCCATTTTATGCACCATGGAAACAAGAAACCTGTCAATCTGCAATTACCTGTTCTACATCCATTTGAGATCAACTTTTACTGCAGGAGTATAGCCAGGAGGATCAGATCTACAGCCTCTGTTCTTCCATGGGAGATGGACATAATTTATTTTTTGTTTCACTCTCAAATAAGTACAAATATTAAAACATTACTCAGATTGATGTCAAGGTGCATATTAAACTGCATTACAGTCTAATAAAAGCTATAAACTTTTCTCACGTAATTTCTCACAGCAATGTCAACAAGAGGATATAAAAATATTCATAGTGTTCATCTGTAAATTCCACTGTGATAAAACTGCACACTGATTTCCTAAGTGATCTCATATATTCAGATTTTCTTCTAGAGCAGAAATATTGCTTGCTTGGGCCCTAAGAAAGCTACTTATTTTTAACAGCTCATACTAATTTTGTATTTTTTTCCATAAATGAAACACTGCCACTTTTTAAATTAGAGATAACTTGTCTGATGGACTACTTTAGCCTGAAGGTTTATTGTGAGTTTTTAATCCATAGCTTTTGTGCCTTTCAAATGCTGATGCTTATTTGTGAAACCCTCAAAAATACATTTTTAAATACTCACTATAGCAAGACCCTTAAATGTACTCATGCGCTTAAGCATCATGTACATCATATTATCCCATTCAGTGGGATTCCCCGAAGTCATAGACAGCTTCAGCGCTTTTCTGTGTCAGGTTTGAAACTCTGACGTTAATTAAGTGTGCTCTGAGCAGAATTAATGGTTACGACTGCCAACAGTGCTCATGGCAGCTACTAGGCTCTCTAAGCTTGGACTTGTAAGTTTATTAAAACAGAATGAGCAGTGATAGCACATTTTCAGTATCTCTAGTGATACAGAATCCAGGCAACGCCAGGTGACACGGAGAGGGAAGGTTTAGATCCTACCTACAGACATGGGAGGATTTGGCAGGGCAGGTGAAGTAGGGGCAACTCTGCTTCTTTGCAAGAAGGTAGTAGTTGAATGGGATATGTAGCTAGTTCTTACCAAATGTAAACTCCAGTAAATCTCTGATTTCACCAGTGTGCCAGGCAGCAAACCAGGGCAGTTAAAGAGCAGACATGTATGTATGATTGAACACACTGTTACTTTATTTACATAAGGCACTAAAATTGGGGTGAAAACTTTCTCCCGTCTCCACTAACAAACTCCACATGACTGTTTCATACGTCAGGAAGAGGATCTGTGAGGCCCGATTACATATTGCCGCTGTAACTCAAACTAGCCAGAACAACTACTAATCATTTACCAGAGAAAACCATCATCGCAGAATGGTTATTCTCCATCTCCGTAGCTCTTTGGATCAGAATCAGGTATCTTTCTGGAGGACATCCGCTACCCAGAACTAGTTACTCGATTTCATATGGGTGTAAGCGGGTGAAACAGGAGCTCAGACTATTTAATGTACTTCCTTTTGGATTAAAATTCATGACTTATTAATTGCATTTTAAATATGTGCTAACTGGCACAAAGAATATGGTCTTAGAAAAGCTCTAATACTGATCAATTACATAACATTACCATAATGATATAGGAACACTGAGCGTTCTCTCCTTTATGTACTTCCATGTGATTTCTTAAATCCCAGCTGGAGAAAAATATGTCTTGTCTTCTGTCTAGTTTTACTTCAGGCACTACCAGTCTGACATCTTGCTTTCAGGTTCTAGTAACATCAGTATTGAGATCAGAGATATTAAAACTTAGAAAAACTGACATGTTATGTCAAATTACAAATAAAGTATCTGAGAGCAAATGGAAGAACAGACAGACTGAATTAAGTAGCAGAAAAAGGGAAAGAAACAGAATGATGGGAGGGAAGATACGGACAAATATACAGAAGAGAACGATTAAGCAGTCTAGCGTAATCAGATGGGTATGAAGAAAAAACATTAATGTTGAAAGCACAAATGTAGGGATATAAATTCACACTTAAAACATGTAGCTACAGATAGTATGGGCATGATCCCATTAACATTTATGCACATACAAGATTTTATTCACAAGAATTGCATAAGTTAGAGGGTAATACTCATGTGAGTAACATGATGTACATGAGGTTGCAGGGTTTGGACTTTCACCATTTTTCCTTGTGTACATCGCGTATATCTGTACAACATTTAAGCAGGCATTTTAACTTTGAAGAAGGTAAAACTTGAAAATAATAGGACCTAAGGGAAACCTTTACCATGAAAGCTGGTGGAACTGCAGTGCTACAAAGCACCGAGAGGAATACCCTAAAGAGTAATTATTTGACAATACAACTAATGTTATTGTTCTGTTTGAAGCATAATAAAGTAAAAGTTGCAGTTTGCATAGATGTGGAATGCTTGTCAGAAGAAAGCATGAATCCAGAATCAAGGAATCCTAATTAACCCTCTAACTGCTATCTGCAAGAAGTCTAACAGCAACTCTGAAATGGGTGTAAGTGACTTATTCTTATGGGATTGCTTCTGCAGTTTAATGACACACTGACTGTTAGCTTACTTCAATCATGTTTATAATAATAAGACACATTTATAGGGCAATAAGCAATTGGTTTGCCTAATAACAGACTATGATTCTTGTGAGTGACAGAAGATAAGTCAGATGCCTTGCCCATGTGATACAGGTTATTGTCCTTATTCTAGAGATAGGAAACTAAAGCCCAGTATGTTACTTTCCATGATCCATCGGGAAGTCTGGTAGAGCCAGGAATGGAGTTTATGGGTCAAGGTCATTTAGGATGACAGCACAATTTTCCTCTAGAAGATGACATCTGATACTCTATTGAGAATAGTGTTTTACAGGATGTTAAAAAACATTAAGTGTAAAAAAAAAAACCCAAAAGAGTCTGTCTTCAGTAATACAGTAATTTAACTTGTTACAAAGTATTCTAACGTTGAAACTACAAAAACAGCATTAAAAGCCATTAATGAAGCAATCAAAAATCCATGACCTTCCTTCTCCAAGAGTTTCTGCCTGTGGATTGACAAAACGGTGCAAAATCTCAGTATCATACATATGGGTGTCCAGAATATATGGAGCCAGAATTTCCCAATATTGCTGTTATCCTGCCAGAACTCCAGACTCCCTCTTCTCAGATGGTTCGGGAGACTTCTAGGCTGTTATCCTATCGTCTCTATCTACCTCTGCCAGCACTGTGCCTCAGCTTCATTTGCAAAATGGGAAAGATGCAAAAAATATGCTTTCACAAGACTACACAAAAATGAAAAACAATATAAAAGAAATAATACTTTTAGAACAGTCCTCACTGAAGCTACATCAGTCTTATTTCTTAACTTCTGCAAGATATCTATACTGCAAAGTGCACACTAGAAATACTTCTACCAAAATCAAATTACTCATTCAGTGCCATCCACAGCAACTATTTATACAGGACTTTTCTACGGAATATATTAGTTTTTTCGCAAATAAGACGAAATAATCCATTATTTAGATTATTTCATATACAACATTCAAAATTTGCGAACTATTACAACACACACAGGTTTACTTACAGAAAGGACGGATTTTAGAAGTCACAATACTGTGAGTTTTACAGAAAAGTACGTTTTCTTTCAAACGATACTTGAATATCGTTGCAGGAGGAATTACCTTCAGCCTGTAGAACATAATTTCTGGCAACACTCCCTAAAGTAGAACACGCTTGCCTCTAAAAATAAGCCATGGTGCTATCAGCAGCACAGATTACTTTTTCCTGGCAGAGAGCGCCCGATGCATCCAGAAATGACTGCAAGGGGCGATGACCAACTGTCTCCAGCGGCTGGTCCAGCCATCCCGGCCGCCCTGGAAGCCACCCCACGCCATGACGAGGCGGTCGGCCTCGCCGCCATCAACTCCGGGTGCGCCCTGCCTGGCTGTAACACAACCATAAGGCAGCCGGCACCCGCACCCACGGCCATCGCCCGCGGGTGGCATAGGCCACGGGTGCCATTGCAGTGGGCAGTGCGGGGGAGAAGCCCCTCGCCCTGAGGCGGGGGCAGGCCTGAGGTGGAGGCAGTGGTGTGGCCACCATGAATGGGGGGGGCAGGGGGTGTATTTATATGCGTGTACGTGTGCATGCATTCATATACAGATGCATACATGCACGCATACACGCGCATACATATGTACGTCTGTGTCCCCCCGTGCGCGCCCGTGTGCCTGCCTGGCGCCAGCCCCGTGACGGGCAGCCCCCGCCAGCCGCCGTCTCGCCCGCCGGAGGCGGGAGG